AGAAAGAAAGAAAGAAAGAAAGAAAGAAAGAAAGAAAGAAAGAAAGAAAGAAAGAAAGAAAGAAAGAAAGAAAGAAAAAAAGGATTGCATTTCTGGATCAGCCTCTCACTGCTCTGAAGGATGATGGTTCATGGCATTACTGAGACAACGGCTGTGAAATCTTGACCTATCCCTCTAGACTCCCGCCCTGCTGTTAGAACGTTCAACTTTTTTCATCCAGATAAAACTAAAACTGGAGCTTTAAAAAAAAAAAAACATAGATGAAAGAGAAGAACCGTGTGGTATTTCTCTTCTTCCTTCGTAAGTATGCCTACCTTTGACTGGGCTGGCTGATATGGAAAGATCACAGGGAATTGCTCTGCACCCAAGTTGGGTGGTTGACCCCTCCGTCTTCCTTGAGGGCAGCAACAATCCAAGGATTCAGATGGGTGGGGTGGGGGTCCTGGGTCTTCATGGGTACTAGGCAGTAAATAGAGCCTAGGAACTTGTGCAGTGAGATTTATCAAAGGCTGAGAAATTGTCCACTATTTATCTATTGGTATAGTTTTATTACCTTTTTTCTAAAGGAAGATTTTCTTCATTGCACCAAAATCCCTGAAACTAGATCTGTAAAGCTACTGGAATGGAGAAGGAGTACACTTGCAAAAAACCCCCACAATAATGTAGCTTTATCTCTAAACAGGAACATTCTTGCTCAGAATCCCAGCTAGCGATTCTGTCTGCACCTCACCCCAAATAAAACTACCTGAATACCTTCAGCTGTCAATGGAGACAGCGTAAGGTGTCCTCTTGGGATTTTTTAAAAAATTGTTTTATATGTACATCTTCAAATCAAGGAGGGGGAGCCTTGCTTCATTCAGGTTCCAATCCTGTTGACGTTCACTGGTCACTGGTAGCGAAGGCACGGCCTCTCTTTGCACTTAGAGATAAATCTAAACCGTGCGCATCTGCACATGTTATGTGACTGGTGAGGTTCTTGCCCTGCTGAATCTGTACCTCCCATCCATTTCTCTGTGCAAAGAACTCTGAAATAGCCACAAGCTTAGTGACCGTGCGTCTTGAAGACGCATCTACTAAGAACACACGCTACCACAGAATCAAATGCAAACCCGTCAGAGGAAGCCTAGAATTGCCTCCTACAGGTGGTTCATTTCCGCCTCCGACAAACCTGCAGATGCTGGAAACTGCTTTCAGAAGCCGCGAGGATCCCTGTGAGCCGCAGGACAAAAGAAAGAAGAACGGGATTTGGTTTCCCTTGTTTGAGCACCGCGAGGATCAGCTCGATCAGACATGGGTTTTCTTCTAACACCAGCAGGCTAGGTCCTGGAGGGGGGGAAAAAAGAGTATTTGGAAATGCATGCTCCTTTTCCTTGCCTCTTCGAGTGGGAATGTTCGAAATGTTCAAGTGATCACAGTACAGCGTCCTTTTAACCACTTTCTGCCTCATCTGTCATACTGGACCAAATGTTATAATAATAAAGGGCTGAGACAGAACGAGTAATTTGCTAAAGGCAACATTCAAACCAGATACTTTTCTCTCCATAATTGACCATCTTAGGCAGTGTTTCTCAACCTTGGCCGCTTGAAGACGTGTGGTCTTCAACTCCCAGAATTCCCCAGCCAGCATGGCTGGCTGGGGAATTCTGGGAATTGAAGTC